TTAGAGAGTTCAGAGAGCTATTAGTGAAGAATAGCAGGCATAGTGATTACAAACAGATTCCAGAAAAATGACTATTTCGAAGTAAAAGGATTCTAGTCAGGAGGAAAACTGCTAGTTTCCTGAGGGAGTTAAGAGTTTTATTGGAAACCAAGTACTGAAGTGATTTAAAGAAACCAAATAAGTTCTTGTGGGTTTTTTCGGGCTATAGAGCCATGTTCTAGAGGCATTTCTCCTCTAGAGAAATGCCTCTAGAACATGGCTCTATAGCCCGAAAAAACCCACAAGAACCTAGTGATTCCAGCCATGAAAGCCTTCGACAATACATTAAACCAAATAAGCTTCACCTCATTCTTGCAACCGATACGCTTAAGTGCCTGTTTTTGAAAACTACACAAATAAACATCTTTGTTCTTTGTTAACAAACATTTGCCTCAGTATGCCTCTTTGTGAAGAAGTATCCATAACAAGTTAGGGAGACAGAGTTTACAGATTGGTGGCAGCAACTACTTAGAAGAATCTCAATAATATCCACCTCAGTGTTCTGCACCCTGAGTTCAAATTCAGCACAATCCAGCTTACTTCCAATACACTGGACAAATAATATCTAAAAACCCTTTTAGCCTTTGGTGATAGCCTGATTCAATAGTACAAGCTCCAAAGAATATCATTAATAGGTGGCAGCAGCCTGAAGATTATTTTGCCTTTTATAAAATTCAATTTAATAGGTCTAAGCCTTGACATTCATTGGTGGCCAGAGTTTGGGACTGTTAGAAAAAAAATCTTTCTTTCTTTACATCCCCTATATCAGAAAAACCTGACATTATCCCAGATAGCAAAATGGCTTGGGCATGTGCTGTCCAGCGTGACATTAGGAGGAAACCTAGCATTCCCCAATCATATAAATCTAACTTTGCACTGAATATTTTTGTATATTAAAAAGATACAATTATGTGTTTAATTACAGCCCATCTTCCTTCTCTGGTGGAACTCAGAAAGGCCTAAAGAGTGATCTCAGGCCATTAAACTTTTGCCTGGAGCTGGATTCAGACATGCTTAACTTTGCAAAGGTCATTCCACTATGTCCTTTTAAACCTGACTGTTAGGGTATTTGCATTTGGTTGTGAAATTAATTAGACATTCTGTTCCTTTATATAGGCTCAGAGGAGAGAAAAGATCTGGAGGGTATGAATCTCAAGGCCATATTTATGATAACAAAATGCATTTTTGTATTTTAAGCAAAGCTAGATACTCATGTCACATGGGAAAATGCTTTGATGTTAAGCTGTAGAGAATATGCTTGCCCCAAAAGTTCATTGGAGCTTGAGTAGCAAAGGAAGTCATTTCAAATTTGCCTCTTTTTTGGTAGGAGAAGGTAGGTGGGAGTTTTTTGAGTCCTTTAAACAGCCCCTCCCTCCTGAGAGAAAGATTCCTTTCCATTTCCATCTGTAACTGTGTTTGGCAGCAAAGCTGGGGCTCTAGATGACTCACTTGACTCACATGCCTGTGTTGAATCTTTTCTCCCATTAGCAACTGTGAATGATACTATGCCATTCTACATCTGCATCAGGGACTGGACTATGGCTTAGGGCAGAGCCTGTGACAGAGTAGGAAGAGACAGGGACAATCTCCCAGGCTCAGCCACAAGCTTGGAATGGATTCTTTTCATTCTGGGCTGCAGGCTTACAATGTCCTTTCTGATGGGCTGGCAGTCATTGACCACTGTGGTCTCTGCCCATCCTCAATTTCTTTCTCCAATGATTTGATATAGAATGGAGGACATGAAAAGAGGAAAACTGTAATGATTTGTGACTTGGCTTATGAGAAATGCATGTTCACAGTCTAAAACAGAATTTCAAAGGGATTCGCTGGAAATAACTTGTATTAAGTTCCTTAGGTTCTTGTAATTAATTCCCTTTCGCAACTACAAGAATATAAATACATTATGACTCCAATTTATAAAGTGATAAATTCACTCCTTTTGCACAAGAACTGTACCATTCAGTTCACCATATAGTTACAGAAGTATCACCGCTCCAAATAGTAGAGGGATATCACATGGTTCAAGTACTAGGTCCTACTGTGCAGTATGTTGCTGCTTCACACTCCATTATGGGTGTTGAGGAGATGAGAACGTGTGCAAGAAGGAAGTACCGTATGTTTATTATCACAGCTTTGTAGCATGCAGATAACCTAACAAACAGCCAAACACAAACTAACCACGAGAAACCTGAAAATAGTTTTTAAATTGCGGCTATAACAGTAATTAACTGATGAGGGTGTTTGTGAGGTGCAATGACTCCCCTCCCACTTCAGTTAGTAAACACTTTCAGCATTAACATCCTCAGTCTATTTAGGGCAGTGGTTCTTAACTTGTGGGCCATGGACCACCAGTGAGCCGCGAGGACAAAAATCTGGTCCGCGAGCCTCCTTCCTCTTTATATATTTTATTTTATTTCCACTCCTTTTGCACTACCTGCCACTCCTTCCCTGTCACTGACAATAGCATATGTTATGTATCAGAAACTAGAGCTGTTGTGGTCTATCCAATGCAATTTTCTGAATCAGCAACCCAAACCGAATCTAAAGTTGAACAAAACCTTATTCATAACTCTTTTGGCACTAATGTTGGAGAGTGGTCCCTGGTCAAAGTGGTCCCTGGTCAAAGTAGTCCCTGGTCAGAAAAAGGTTGGGAACAACTGATTTAGAGTAACAAAATGCATGGGAATTGATGTTGGCCCAATTAGTATAACATTCCTAGAAGCATTATAAGTATTAATGTTTCTGGGAAGTAATTCACCCTTAGCCATATTCACATACAGCCTGTTTCTCCATGTGATTGTGAAGAAAAATGTTGGAACAAATAGACATATCTGTCTTTGTCACAAAAGTAACTTGTTTTCTTATCTACTGATCCTAAAGTTAAATTTGAATAAATCTCTCATTAGATTCTGCATCTCCTTGTTTTTCAATAAATTTGGTTCTCCCATTGCACAAGATTATCAGAGTTTTTGCTCATCTTTGATGAGCTATCATAATTCCAGATTGATATGCAGAAATGTTTACCTTAAAAACTTTGTATTTTTTTAAAAGCACAATGTTTTGTGTAAGAAAACATATTTAAGCAAATCTTCATGTTTTTACTACAGACTAAATTTTCACCCAAAACATCTAATGTGAAAAATGTGAGGAAGATGTTACAATATTTGGAGATGTTTTGAAATGCCCTTTCTTGTCAAGCCTGTGTGGAAAAAGTCTTGGTGTATTCCTCTGTAAAGTCAACTCATTCACATTCTCTCTTTCTCTTCACCCCCCTTCTCTCTTGAGGCAACAGTAATCTTTTTCTTTGGAAAAAAGACACTGAGGACATCTTGTGGCTAAATTCTAGAACATTTAAATCAAAATTAAAGCTAAAATATATTCTAAATGAAACATTTCAGCTTAGTTCTAAATACAATAGTCTTATTTGAAATATGTTCTTGGGGACTATGGTGCTCTCTATTGATCCAGCAAGGGCTGAAAGTAAATGTCATTCTGTATCATGTAATGGAAAAGCACTCAAAATATAATAGGGAGATGTAACATTAAGTATGGGTTATATCTGTCTCTTATCAGTAGAAAATAATCCTATTTTATTTGTGGATGATGATGATGATTATGATTATGATTATCATTATTATTATTATATAAATTTATCTCTAAAAAAGAGACCCAAAGCCACTGTAAAAAGATAAATGTTAAGTAGACAAGAAGTGACGTCTGCACATTCTATGTATGTGGATAGAATACAGTGCAGTTTCCATATTCATTCTCATATATTTTATTTCATTCTCTGTCCCTCTTGGTGGCTTTAGGGAAATTTTTGGCCAGAATTTTGTCACTCAGCATCCTTCCAGTTTACAATGCTTGGATGAAAATCTAATAGGGCTGAACATGAAGCAGGTAGAGTGCTAACACTTTGCCTGTGTAGTTCCATATCCCTTTTCTATGTGTTTCTAATTTTAAGCTCTCTTTTTTCCATCTCAAACCTCCTGCCCACAGAGCTGTCAAGCCCTTGGAGTGGCTCCTGCTGTTTACCAATGGAGAAGGGACAGGGAATTGATGCATTTCAGATAGTGAATAATTGCTATATCTTAGTTCAGAGGGGGAGAAAATATTACTTTAATTTGAAATTGCATGGAATCTCTAGGTCTTCCAGTGTGACAAGAGGTTGACTATAGAATCATGCTGAAGGACCTACAAATGCTTAGGAGAGTATTTCCTTTAGGAATCCCTAGGTTCTTCAGCATGACTCCATGGTCAACATCTCATGGTCAACAAGCAAGGTGAAATGCGGAAGCTCTTCTGTTTAAAATCTGCTTTGATAATTAAATGTTATGTTATGCATTAATATGTCCACTTACCTAGGAGTAAACTCCACTCAGCTCAACTCAATGGAATTTCCCTCCGAGAAATAAATATCGGAAAGTGTTGTAAAATAATAATTGAAACAGTGGCTCCATAGTTCCCTGAAGCTGCCTCAGCTGACCCTAATACACAATATTGCTTTCTCCAAGGGTAGACTGAGGGTCCTTTCACACAGACATATAATCCAGAATATCAAGGCAGATGATCCACAATATCTGCTTTGAACTGGAATATCTGAGTCCACACTGCCATATAATCCAGTTCAATGTGGATTTTATACAGTGTGTAGAAGGGGCCAGAATGAAATGTCAGTAGTCTTCCAATCATTTTTGGACTTTGGTTTCTGTAAGAACTAGCTAGCATGGCAAAGGATTATAGAAGATGTGCCCCAAATATCTTTTGATCAAAGCCTCTGTAAGCCTGTCTTACTGAGAAAAGGAAAGTCTATATCTAGTCAATGCCATACATATTCCTGAAATGGCTTAATTTTTAGCTGTGAACAAAAATGGTTAATAATAGTAATTTGTTATATGAATTAAACAGGCTTTGTTTCATCCAGTAAATAAATTATCTCAACACATCCCAACACTGAACTGCTAATGAATTCTTCTCATAAAAACTTTGTTCTCCCACTTGAACTGGAGATCTTCTGCAAGATCGCTCCTACCGGTCTTACAGAGATAGCGAGAGAGAAGCTGGAGCTTGTCAGCAGATCTTGGAAGATTCCTCTTCCAGAAGCACAGGAGCTCATAGATCTGTGCACTGAGATTATCAGGGCACTTCAGTTTAATAAGCTGAAGAGTGCTTCGGTGGAGAGGCAGAGAGAGTGCGAGGTATGAAGCGTTATCTTCCGACAGCTCTTGTGACAGCCAGTATAGCAAGTTGTCCCACAGGGCCTCTGTAAGTCAAAATATTAACATAGGAAGAGTTTTTAGAAGTGAATGTTATTTAAAAGCCTTCTAAACGAAGGAAATTAGGCTACATTCACTCATGAAAGACACATCAGAGTGTAAAAATACAAAATGTATGTCACAATAATTGTAAAACTAAGTGCTGCATTTGTGATGTTTTTTTCCCCCCTTGTTCTACCGCTCTCTTTTCTTTCATAAATAGCATCCAGGGAGAATTTGATGCTGTTCTGGTCTGTGTTCTCACCCCAACTCCTCATGTATTTTACTAAGCAAATAACCAATCACTTAACTGTTAGTTGGCCTAGGGCACTTTTTACACTGCAGATGCCAAGTCGCATGGCTTGATAACAAGATAGAGTGATACAACTATCTCAGATTGTAAATTTTGAGTGTCAAAAAGAAAGCAAATATTTTCTTTATTATTATTGGATTTCTACTGCTAGGAAGGTGTGAATTGCTATAAGACATTCTGTCTGATGTGCTAGACTCGGTTTGGATACTCTTAGCTAGGATGAAGTGGATATATTTTATGCTCAAGCAACAAACTATCTTGAGAACATGAGAAGAATCGTGCTGGATCAGACTAAGGGCCAACCTAGTCCAATATTCCAGCCACAGAGTGTCCAACAAGTTATCGAAGGTAAGATCACATGTAGGACATGCAATCAACTTCATGTTACACACCCGAACAAGTGATATACAGAGAAAAACTACAACCAGGACTGGAGACAATGTATCTTGATTAGTAGTTTTTTATGATCTTGTGAATTTATCCTATCTTCCTTTAAAACCATCCAAGTTGATGAGTACAACTACATCATCGCGCAGTGAATTCCACAATTAAAATATGCCTGTGTGACTATTTACTTCCTTTTACCTGTCCTGGGTCTCCTACTTGATGGTTCCAAAACAGATGATCTCACGTTCTAATAATATCAAAAAAGGATAAAGGCTTCTCCGCATACATCATATATAATTTTAAACATCTCAATTATTTCTCCTCTTATGTCTATCTCCTAAGCTGAACAGACCCAAATAGTGTAACCTTTTCACATGGGTGAGCTCTTATAGCCTTTGATCATTTTGATTGTCTTTTTCTGTACCATTTTCAGCTTCACAATATTCTGATAGGATGATAAGGCCCTTCCACACCACACAGTTATATTGCCAACATTTCAATTTAAACAATATGAGTTGAAGGAACAATATGAAGAATTCTCCTCCACAGAGAAGTGATGCCTCATCTAATTGAAGACTTGAGTATTCCAGACAATGTTGCCATGGGAGTTAAAGCTGAATCATTCTGCTCTCATTGTCTGGTGTGAAAATATCTCCAAACATCAAGTAATCTAGATATGATTATGCTTTGAATTTGAAAAAAGAGTTTTATTTTTAGCTCTTTTTCTAATATAAACAAAGTACTTTTGAAAAAGCCAATTAACTGGATCCATGTTTTCTGTCCATCACTCTTAGATCAGGATTCTTTTGTGGTACAGGCAGTCCCTGAGTTACATATTCCTGAAATGGCTTAATTTTTAGCTGTGAACAAAAAAATAGTTGATAATAATAATAATTTGTTATATGAATTAAACAGACTTTGTTTCATCCAGTAAATAAATTACATCAACACATCCCAAGTACAAATGACTCACAATGGGGATGAAACAACAGGAAGTGGGAGAAATCTACCCCTAGGAAGGGAAATTCATCCTAAAAGAGTTATCATGGGGAAAAGGTATCTCTGCTGAAACTTTAGCACCAATTGTTGTTTCCACAAGTCACATTTTTCTAAAACCAATTATCACCCCCACAAATCATATCCCTGACCTTATCATTATCACAGGTACAGAAAATGAGGTAAAATCTTCTGAACAGGGACACAGAGAACAAAACAAACACCACAAGGGTGTTAACCCTTTCCTATGCAATCCAAAGCTTACATACACACTGCTGGAGTTACACTTTAAAACGTATCTGTTTCAACTTACATACAAATTCAGCTTAAGAACAAACCTACAGAACCTATCTTATTTAATACTTGGGACTGCCTGTATATGGCAAATTTGGCTACTTTATCCTACTCTCGATTTCTTTACACTTTCTTACATTTTCAATTTTGATATTCATTTTTTGATTGGAAATATATATTTTTGTTCTGGTGACCCTGAACAGTTTATTATCACCAGGAACATCTTGGACTCTCTCTTGTTGATGAAGACACACAGAAGCCTGATAGAGATAAAGCCAGGGGCAAGTGCCATCCTCCTCTCTGGTATATTTCATCTACATCCTCTTTGCTGTCAAGACATAGCAGCTGAAGTCTGCAACATCTAGCTCCACCTTGAGTCTACAATGCTAAGCACACTTACTCCAGTGAGCTCAGTAGGACATTTGAATAATCTACATAGATAACATTGTACCCTGCAGGAATGGCAGAACACCTTACCTGATAAATCGGTTGAAATTCTTTTTGTGCTTTGTGAACGTTTGATGAGCCTTTCTTTCTATGTTGGGGAAGATAAGCAGAAAGGGGCAAAAATTACTGAGGGACTTGAATATTGAAAGATAAGACTTTTTTTTTGTTAAGAAATTAAAGTCAAACGTTGGCATTGATGGATGCACATCTCATAAATGACATTTTCATTTCATTCCCCATATAGTTCAGTGAAAGAATCACACCCCCCTTATTTGCAACAAAGTCCCCCTTCATGACTTTTCAATTGGGAGCCTTACTGCATTGAAACATTCTTGACATGTTTGTGTGACTCATATTTTTTCTTCTCAATACCTCATGCAATAATTTTGGGTGAGATATACGGGTTGGCATAAAGTTATGTAATGAGAATTTTCTGATGGAACTGCAATGTAAATCCGTATCTTCCTGAGGTGAATTCAGGCCCCGTCTACACAGCCATTATAATGCAGATTGAACTGGATTACATGGTAGTGTAGACTCATATAATCTAGTTCAATGAAGTTCAGTCTGTATTATATGAGTCTTCACTGACCACACAATGCAGTTCAAACTGCATTATATGGCAGTATAGATGGGGCCTTAATTCACAGTGAATCCCTGAGTGTTTGCTGCAGTTCTAGCATTATGATTCTACTTAATGACTCCAGCAAATAGACTCCTTGGATTTGTATTTTAATAAGTGGCTTAGAAATTTTGGCTATAGAATGTTGGTCCCCTTTCTTGACCTATCAATATTAGAAATTTTTAGTAGGGAACTAGTAACGACAAGTGCAATGACTCCGTAGGGTAGAGCCATAGCCATTGACTTTGTATCAAATTGCAGGTGAAATCTCATCTCCACTACATACATCTATTTATTTATTTATTTGAGTATTTATATCCCATCCTTCTCACCCCTGGAGGGGGACTCTATTTTGTGAAGTGATGCCCATAGTCTGAATAATACCAGGTCTTGATAGAACTCAGGAATCTGATAGAAAAGGAACCACATTATGTTCCATAACACTTTGACTTTTGGATACAATTAGCAAACATAATTGCTCACAGCCCGGTGAGGAGCCCTCGATCATGAAGTAGGTTAAACCCTTGTGCCGGCTGGACTGAAGACCGAAAGTTCATAGGTTTGAATCCGGGGAGAGCACGGATGAGCTCCCTCTGTCTGCTCCAGTTCCCCATGCAGGGACATGAGAGACGCCTCCCCAAGGATGGTAAAACATCAAAACATCCGGGTGTCCCCTGGGCAATGTCCTTGCAGATGGCCAATTCTCTCATACCAGAAGCGACTTGCAGATTCTCAAGTCCCTCCTGACATGGAAAAAAAAGCATGATAAGTCAACAAGGTAGCAACTTACTTTTGGCAAGGTGAGAGCCAGTTTGCAGAGAAGGTCTTGATCCTGATAATCATCCAGCTGAAGTGGTTGTTCCAGGTTCTTGGCAATAGTTTCTTTGCTCACTCTGTAGAACAAGGCAGTCCCTTTGTAATGGGGCGAACTGTAGTTGCCAAATTCATCCACTTCCTTGATATGGAGGGCAAGCTTGGGCTTTCTTTGTGCGTGAAAAGTGAGCTTGAATGTTTTACCAAAGGATTCCCTATCATCTGTAGAAATTTAATGCAAAAGGAAAAAGCAAAACCATGTTAATACTAAGAATATGAATACTTTTGAAAAGGATCTGTGTGCTTTATTTGTTAATGTGTGTGTACTGACTTCCCTTGGGGAAAATGTCTTGACCAACATAACATGTCAATAGATTTTCCTGAGGCACAACTCAGGTTCATCACAGAGATAACTGGAGTATTATACATCTGTTGTCCCCATAAATATATATAACCAAGGCCTTTTAAGAGTTTTGTAAAGTACTGGATGAACTTTCAGATTTGATATATTCTCACATGGAGGGCCATAACACAAAGACAAGGCAATATTACTCAGCCACTTAGTGAACCCCAAAAACAATTGCTGGCAAATCACAATCCGTTATAGGATCAGAGATGATGAAACTGATTAAGTGCAACTAGATTTAAAATGTATTGCAGGGTGAATAAGAAATTTAAAATGAAGTTATATGTCTCTACCATCTTTTGTAATATGCTGTGGAAAAAGTCTAAGCAGCTTTACTGATATGGGTCAGTATTACTCCATGGTATAGAAAATAAAGTTCAATCCCTGTATCTATGGGACTGGTATCCATTGTTTCATTTTTCCATGTTTGACAAAATATGTCCTCTTTAGACATTTTATATGTCCTCCAATAAGACTGTTGTATTCTTGAGCCTACATTTCAATAGTAGATTTCAATAGTAGATTTACTATTATACATGGTTTTGCATATTCAAATAAAGTCCAGGAGTGTATATCCTGCAGATGCAGGGATCATACTATAGTTATAAAGCAGAAAATGTATTCACCTGAAGCAAAAATGTTTCCACTAAATCTAAAATAAACCTGTTCCCCTTCTCTCATCTTGAACTGCTGGGAAGGTTCTGGAGGACCAGAATATCCATTTTCACGTAGATTCTGGAGCTCCAAGTTCAGTTCCTTGGATGGAGCCAGCAAGACAACAATCTGGTAAGGATCTTCTCTTTTGCAATATAATACCACTTTGACCATGGTGTTGTAAATAGCCTCTTCCAGTTTCCCAATAAACTGACTCAGATGTGTATTGTCCACTGAAGAGGATAGACGAATGACCATAAATCTGCATTTTTAAAAAGGTACAGTGATATCTCTTTTAAACAGTGAACAAGAGAACAACCAATGAAAAAGAAACAAAATTTGGCTTCCACCTTCCTTAAAAATATAGTTGGGTTTTCATATGCAACTAATTTTGTTTGGATCAGGACAGTCTTATTTTTATCAATATTTTCTAACTAAACTGAACAACGTATTTAACAAAATGTTGTTACACAGTTTTTTTCCTCTGGGTATGCAGGCTGTAGATCTGAAATTTCTACTGACAATAATTATCATGCCCTGTACATAAAATGACAGTTTCATGAACACAGACATGCTGAAGCATCTATACCCATAGCGTGAAACTATGTGATATACTGTACATAGTTTTAAAATATTTGAAATATTTAAAATTTTGTTTTATGTTTAATTATGTTTATTAGACACATAAATTAAACATAAAATATTTTATATTTAATTATGTTTAATTTAGTTTATTTAAAGTATGTCTATGGTTTTAAATTATTTTGTTTATTTTAGTTTTAATTTTTAAGATATTCTGAAATCTTTAATATAGTGTGGAGTATTAACATTTTAATAAAATAAGAAACAATTTTAAATATCATGTTGTCTCACCTCTCTAAGGGTTCATCCAGTTCAAATACGACAAGGCCGTTCTGTGCATTTCGCACTGCGATGTCATCCATTACAGACCATCCCTCTTCTTTGTTCTTGTATCCCAGTAATTTCAAGGATTCGTTTAGATTCTCCCTATGTTTTCTTGGGGAGGCACTCATTGCTCTAGAGAATAAAAATGTGTTCAAGACTTAAAATCTAAAAGCAAGACCTGCAACTTTTGGGAAATTAAAGCATTTGTATTTAGTCCTGAGAATCCATATCTATTAAATGGTTTACATTCCCAAGAACTGTCCCAATTCTGGCAAATAAGAAAAAAAGTCACTTTCTTTATAGATCTTCATATTTCTTGCCTGACATTTCCTTGATGGATGCTAAGCAACTAAGAGTAAGCAATATGATATTCTCTATATATATTTGACTATCACTATCATTGTTTCTAACCATTGGGCAGGCTGTCTTGAACTGGTGAGAGCTGTAACCAAAAATATCTGGAGATAACCATGTTATCCCTTCTGTCCAGTCAGGTTAGTATTTATTTAACCAGCACATCATGATATGTAATCATGCCTATTTGCCGAGTGAATGCTGAAAAGTTTCTTTTGTTTACAGTTTTATCTGGGAATGAGAAAACTATTGCTAATTGCTGAAGGTAAGGATTGCTGTATATGCAATATGAGGGAAGTGATCACACTTGTTATGGGGTGGAGTGGAAGAACTCAGTAGATAGATCAAGTATGAGCAAGTTTATGGAAATAAGCAGATCAGGAACCTAGTGGTATAGCCCTCCATCCTTAGCAACCTGCTGTTAATACCATTTTTTGCCACAAAGATGGCAATTACCCTGGAAAATGGGGTGTTTTTCTTGTTTCACAGAAGAAATGGGAGCATTCATAGTGTTGCTGACACCTACCGTGGCAGGAACTGGCTTGCATGTGCATGAAAAAAATATTCATTGGGAACTTTGCACACTAATGCAAATTCTACACCCAGCATAAGAAATTGCTTTAAAATGAATGCCTACAGAATTTGATTGGAATTCGCTCATGAGAGGGAACATTCCCATTTTTCACTTTTTCACATAAGATCAATTACATTTCAGATGGGAATTGCAAGAGTTCTTGCATGTTTTGATCATTTCCTTTTCTTCTTTTCTGTTTGCATTTTGTAAATGTTTTCTTGCATAAAAGGCTTTGGTTTTGTGTGAAATACAAGATTTTGTGGAGGATACAGTATTTTATGCTCAATCCATTTTTGCACAACATACCATTTTTGGTTTTGTTGTTATTCCAGTTGACAAAGAAAATGATAATCTTGGCCCTCCATGCAAGAGCTAAAATTATTCCAGGAGTGAACAGTTTTTTGATGGGATACCCTTTCTCTTTGGGGATGAACATTTTTCATATCCTTAGAACTTGTAAAAAGGTTTCATGTAGCAATTGTTTCTCACCGATAAGGATGCATAGTGGTAACTCTGTGTGCAGAAGCACTTGTTGCTCTCACGTGGTCCATCACATCACCCTCCATCTTCTTCTCTTGATTTGGAGGACATGGTAAAATAACTGTGACAGGTTTGTTGAATGGCTGGGATGAGGGATGTTGCAGATACACCAGAGGGCTTGTCGATACTATTGAATGATATGCGTCATGCTTTGCTTTTAATAAGGAAATTGTAGATGGCTCAATTGGTTGCACCTGTATACAATTGGTATTGTTACTAATTGCCATTACTATCATTAACATTGATGTCATTGTTACAATTGCTATAATTGGTGTGGTCTAAGGGATTCTTCTCAATAATTTAAACCCTTAGGAGAGCTAATACTGATTCAAAATGCTGGCTAAACCTACCTGCATTTACTGATCTACAAATCCACATACATATGTAAAAAGATGTATCAGTTTCCCATCTGTTTGCCTTCTGAAAAGAAATAAAATAATATAACATCGGGCTCTGAAGTTGTTTGGCCTATAGGAGGACTGGGGAAAATTGGTCCTAGCCGTTGCTCCAGAACCACTATAGCTGGACTCTGGAAACATAATGGAAAATATAAAATGTCTGGGACTAGCAGATTGCTTTCTATCTAATTTATTTTCCTCCAACGCTGCTTCCTTTCCCAATAAAAGGAATAGGAAATGGAAGAATACATGTGGGAGCCCAGTGAGGAGAGTACGCAAAGACTAGCCATGTATGCGAACCCTGCAAGCAATGGACACAACACTTCACAGAATTGTGTATTCAGTATCTCCTAAAACATGTCATTCAAAACCCTGCCCTATGATTAGTGATTTTTGGATTGGTAGTTTCAAAAGAGAAAGGAAGTGGTAGAACAGCAGCACCTAAAAGTCCTATCCTGATATGTTCCTCCTTCCAAGATGTTTTGCATTACTTATCCCCAGAGAGAGCTGGGTTTTGCTTATGGACCACTAGCTGTATCCGAATGTACACCTAAATGCAATATGGAAAACAGGCCACTGTGGTGCCCTGGTTTGAGCTATGACTCTGGAATTCAAATCCTCACTTGGACAGGAAAGTCCATGGAGTGACCTTCAGAAAAATCACATGCTCCCAGACTCAGAGGAAGACAAAGGCAAAGCCCTATCTGAACAAAATTGACAAGAAACTCTGGTGGTAGATTCACCAATAGGTTGCCATACATTCAAAGTGACTTGAAAGTACATAACAACATTAGTATGGAAGAATTGATAGAGTTGTGGTCCAAAACAGAAACTTTTCCAAGGTCTAATTTTGTAGTCATTTTTGTTTTTGCAAAACTGGGGGCCAACAGACAATCACAGTTATATCAAATATGGCCTTGCCTGTCTCTTGAAACAGAAGTGTTCTCAAAATAAATCAGGCTGCAATTCCCCAGCTATGCTTATTAAAACTGAGCTGAATTCTGACCAAAGGCAATACTGACCTAATACTGTGATGTGCTGTCAGGGACTTCCCTTTCCTATGAGCAAAGAAATGGACTCAATAAGTAGAAAAGGGAATCCCCCATCTGTGCAATTCCCTTCCTACTTACAGCAGATGGGACTAAGTTCCTGGGGGTATGGGAGTCTACAGAATAAACAACAACTTCTGCTCACTTTTCACCACTGACCGTCACATAAAACCTAAAATAAGCATGCAGCTTTGACTAACTGCCTCTGTATATCCTACAAAGTAGCTGTGTAGCCCTTTCCTCTCTTCTGTGTGTCCACATTAAAGGATTTGGAGTGTGTGGGGGGGGGGGGGGCTTTACTAAAAATAAATCATTCTTACAATTAAGAATTTAGATCTTGAACAATAAAGGGAAAAATAGTTACATAGAAAGGAATTTCTAAACAAGTACAAATTTTGATACCTTGCACCTTCATTTATGATCATACAGCGTAACTTGATTTAAGCTATTTTCCCTTTCCTGCGCCTTAAATCTTACATATACAGGAATCTAGAATCTAAGTGAAGCTGTTAGATAAATAAATAAACAACAGTACTACATTAAATGCTAAATAATTTATTTTAATCACATTTAATTATTCAATTAGTTGAATTCAATTAATTCTACTCAATAAAATGAATTACTTGCCTATAATTAATTAATTAATTAATTAATGAGTCAGGAAGTTAATTTGACACATGGTACAATGCAAATTTGAGATATCCAAGCATCAACTCCCCATTGAAACCTGCTATGTGTTTTCCTGTTGTCACGTGAAATGTTTAAAAGATTTTTAATACATTTTATCTTTTTGAAAAGAGGCCTGCATGTACATGAAAGTTGTGGAGCATGCAATGGATGATTCCTTGGAATTATGTCCAAAACCTCTAATATATTAGCACTAATTATTGCTTTTAAAATGTACATCAATTGGATGCAAATATTGTTCCTGATTTTACAAATACTGTGTTAAATGTAACGTTAAGTCTCGTTGAGTCCACTCATCTCAATTTCTAAGCCGAAGAGCTGGCATTGTTCGTAGACATCTCCTAAGTCATGTGGCCGGCATGACTGCATGGAACACTGTTACTTTTCCACTGAAGTGGTATCTATTGATGTTCTCACATTTGCATGTTTTTGAACTACTAGATTGGCAGAATGTGGGGCTAACAATGGGAGCTCACCCTGTTTCATGGATTCGATCTGCAGGTTTGCAGCTTAGTGGTTTAACCCGCTGCGCCACCATGGCACATTATAATATTATACTATAAACACATTTATTTATTCATTTAAAAAACCTTTACATAAAAAACACCTCCCATGATGCTGAAAAACACAGCTTTAAGACTGGATTGCAAATGTTACACATTGTACTATCACCCACATCTACATTAACTTTAAAATATGAATACTTTACTCCTTCTTCTCTTCCCAGAATGACTGTGATACGTCACATTACTTCCACATTGTGATTCAAGCATAGATTTGTAGAGTATGCAGGACTTTATTAGAGTGCCTGGGGCTTTATTAGTCAGAGAACTTAATTTTAAAAGAAATGAACAGCTTTCTTTCCCCCCAAGGAAAAAGGCAGCCATGCAGAACTAATCTGTGAAGAGTATTATAGTCGACCTGAGATTAATGTGCTTCTTACACATCTGTTTTTTCTTAAGCTTTTGCTGCCACCCAGAGGTGAAAAGAATGACAACCTCGGATTCCTGATATCAATAATCTTTTTAAAAGGAACAAAGCAACAAGGAAGAAAGATGACCAACAATTTCGCAAAGTCATGAAATGAGAGCAAAAATTTAGGGTTAATGTAACAGATTTGTTTATGATGAACCAAGTGTGTTTGTGGTCCTGGTTCAACATTTGTGACTCCATCTCAGGCAGTAGAATGTTTTTCTTAACACTACTGCATGCATTTTTCTGATTCAGTGAAAATAAGTCTGTTTTAGACTATGCTAGCTGTTAGGGCTGGGTAACCACGGAAAAATTTGTTTCTAAACTCGATTCGTTTTTAGGGGGTTTTTGCGTTTTGTTTTTTAAAAGAATTCCAAAATTTTCCTTTAAAAAAGTTCGAAATATACGAAATTTCGTAAAATTACGAAACAATTACGAAACGATTTTGAAACAATTATGAATCGATTCGTTAATGGCGGACGCAATTGCGCAATATGCTAAAAAACCCTCCAAATGGGACAGGGGGAACTTCTGAAGCTTCCCTCTCCCTCTGTTGTTGACTGTTGGTGTGATAATTTATTTTTTATCACTGATAAAACAAACAACAACCCTAAAACTTGCACCAGACATACGGAAATAATTACGAAACAATTACGAAACGATTTCGAAACAATTACGAAACAATTACAAAATGATTTTGAAACAATTACGAAATAAATTGAAAAAATTCGTTTCGATTTTTAATTACTCCTGCATGGCTCAATATCGGATCGTAAGCTAATTTAAATACGAATTAATAACGAATTACGAAATTAACGAACGAAACCACCCAACCCCTCTTTCTTTCCCCTTTTTTTCTTTCATTCTCTCCTTCTTCTCTTTCTCTTCCCTTCCTCCCCCCTTTTCTTTCCCTTCCACTTTCTTCCCTTTCTTCCTTCTCTACCTATTCTTGGACTGCAACTCCCAGTTGTCTTCCTGATCAATCTATTTACCTACCTATCTATCTCTAATGTATCTATCTTACCTATCTGGAGGATTGCTGGGAATTGGAGTCCAGGAATAGGAAATTGGAAATATGCAGAGATTGGGATGCTCTCAAAGCAATCCAAGGAAAAGAAAGCTTGCAGCTTGGAAGCAGTGCATTTGGATCACCCTCCTTTCCTAAACAGCCTGATCTAGAGGATGCTGGGAGCTGTAGACTGAAAGGATATGCTATTGTGTGTTTTGTTTGCCAGAGGAAGTCATTATGCACATGTGCTGTAGCATCTTTTTGCTTTTTTTGGCTTTTAGGTCTCTTCTGCTGTGTTTTTCAGTATTTTTATGAGTGATGGTCATTGTGTATTGTGTCCAAATTTGGTGTCAATTTGTCCATTGATTTTTGAGTTATGTTAATCCCACAAATGAACATTACATTTTTTATTTAGATAGATGGAAGCTCTGTCTCTGGTAGCAGATTTGTGAGGGCAATTTCATACATTGTATGTTAGTCACTGAGGGCCCTTCCACACAGCCCTATATCCCAGAATATCAAGGCGGAAAATCCCACATTATCTGAGTGTGGACTCAGATAACCCAGGTCGGATCCAGACAGGTCTTTATCCCAGAAACATTCATGTTAAGAAAATGTGTATGTTTCCGGAGGCCTGTCCACACCCACCCCAGAAAGTGTGTGCATTCTGGGGTGGGTGTTCAGACGTTCTCTTGGGACTAGCCTGAGAGAACATCTGAAGGCCCTACCCCTTTCCCCAAAGCCCCCAGACCCCTTAGAAAAGTAGTAAAAATGTACCTATCCTCCATTAGAAGCCTTTGATGGCTCTCCCAGCACATTGAAATGATGCGCCAGGAGAGCAGGGGGGTTAGCGATTTACCTCCCTCCTCCCCCCCTCCCCTGGCGCATCATTTCTATGTGCCAGGAGAGCCGTACGAGGCTTCTAATGGAGGATAGGTAAGTTTTTACTACTTTTCTAACGGGTCTGGGGGCTTGGGGGAAGAGGGGTGAAAAGGTTCTAACAAGGTCATTCCTTTCCAAAGATCATAACATCTCCAAAAGGGTCATGGAGAGTTCCATCTCCCAAAAAAAACTATGGCTAGACAACTATCAGAAAATATTTTTTAAACGACTGCACTGAGATATGCTGATGTGCTGTAGGCAATCAGTTTTGAGTCCTGCATGGGATATACCACCTTTACTTGAGTCTAGTGCATCATTGAGTCTGTATGGCAGTGTGCTAGAACATGATCATGCAGCCTGGAAATCACACAACACCCTAGTGATTCCCACCATGAAAGTCTTCGACAATAAATAGCACTAATTTCTTCTAACAAAAGAATTGGCTTATGCACTTTTCCCAGGGAAGAATTTCCCAGAATTCCCAAGGATTTTGCTGACCAATATAGTATCTCTCAGGTATACCTTTAGATGCATGGTGACTCGAGCACTGAATGTTGATGATGGATAGAAAAATGAAATCCTGGGATCCATACTTATTTTACGTGGGCCTCCTTTTCTCGGAATTGTGATTTTCTCCTGCTTTAAACATGAAACCACAGAAAAAAATCCAAGCTGAGAGGTTTTTATTTCAGCAAAGGTCTCCTGCAACAAAAAGAAAGAAATGAAAAATGATGTGTTTTAGAACAAACTGTAAAATAGTTATGTGAAAAATCAAGGCAAGGCAGGGATCTGAACAGAAATCAACACAGAAGTTGCAAACACTTAAACAGATTTTTTTCCTCTGTGTTTCAGATGAACTTTATCTGACATTTATATATTTCATATTAATTGAGATTGAGTGTTGCTTCCAGTGGAATCACCAATCTGTTAATTTACCAAAAAAGAAGCCACACAATTGAAGCTTAGACAAGTCTGTTTTCAGTACCCTAGGGCTGTATGGCTCTAACACTATTTTGTAGGCTTCCACTTTTATTTGTAAATCTTCAGAGTAACTGTATATCATGCATTCTGGAGGGGGACATGAGAGAAGACTCCCCACAGGATAGTAACTCATCTGAGTGTCCCCTGGGCAATGTCTTTGTAGATTTTCTCACACCAGCATGCAACCATCCAACCAACCAAACCATAACTTTATTCTCAATTTGCTTCTGACATGATAAATAAATATGCATTCTAGTACACTGTGATGAGATAAAAGAGGTTGCTCCTATTCATTATTTCAGTGTTGTTCTTGGCACTGCCAGAGAAGGGTCTTCAATATGTTGGGGAGCCACCAGCGATCACTTTTGAAACCCAAGAGTAGTTCTTAGTGCCATGTTATTTCTTCACTCCATATTATTAAAACATCACTTGGAGAAGCAATAGGAACTTCACTTATTCTGGGCAGTTTGGTTCAGAATTCACAAAGTAAGTGTCTTCCCAAAAACCAAACAGTGATTGTGCTTTTCAACAGTAGAATCCCTAGTCCAGCAATGGTCACACTGTGTGGCACTGCTCTTTAGAAATAGAAACTAATAAGATAGGCCTCCTCCGGCAGGCCTTCTCCGCAGTGCCACAGCCGCCAGACTTCCGGGGTCTGTGTAGGCCAGGGAGACAGGTTTTCATCGCTGTGTCTCAGGCTGCCGCACTTCCAGGGTCCCTGGCCTCCCTGACCTTCACTTTTAGTAAATATTTAATATTTAATATTTTAATTAATATTTTCAAAAACCCGCAAAACAGCGAGTCCACTAAAAGTGAACCGCGAAGTAGTGAGGGAACACTGTGTAACAAAAGCCTCCCCTGGGGGCGCAGTAGGTTAAACCACTGAGCTGCTAAACTTGCTGACTGAAAGGTTGGTGGTTCAAATCCGAGGAGTGGGGTGACCTCCCGCTGTTAGGCCCAGCTCCTGCCAACCTAGCAGTTTGAAAACATGCAAATGTGAGTAGATCAATAGGTACCTCTCTGGTGGGAAGGTAACAGCACTACTGACAATGCTTGGAGGCAGGCAATGCTGGCTCTTCGACTTAGCAGTGAAGATGAGCACCACTCCCCAAAGCTGACATGACTAGACTTAATTTTAAGGGAAACCTTTATCTTTTAAAACAAAATCTATAAAAAGCTGAAATTCTGAGCACTTCTGATCCCAAGCATTTCAGAGAAGGGATATTCATCCAATACCAGAATAGAGAATGTGGGGTGTTTTGTAGGAGGGGTGCTTGAGTAATATATTGCAGGACTGATCTGGTATGTAGTAATTCAAGCTATTATTTTTCCCATGAACTATTAGAATTGTTTTAGTAGAGTATATGGAACCTGGGAAACTATAACAATAGATGTGTTGTTGTTTTTTTTTTTGAAAAAGAGAGCAGCTTCCATATCTACTATCCGTCTCTATTCTAATACATATTTTCTTACTCTGATGCCAATAGAAAATCAAATTAAAGAGTTAATTATAACTTCTGTGCCTTTGTATCTATCCCCACCCCCCGCAAAAAAAACTTGATGGGTTTCTTGTCATTGTCATGAACATTGAGAACAAACATTATGGGGGGCAGTAAGGGGAAGCAAGTCACTTCTCCCTTCCAGATGCACTTTAAATAGCACCAATTTTACTAAATTCTGCACAAATCCTACTAAACTTTTGAGGCTTTTAAATTAATACTACCACTGTATTAATTTAATACATAAGGTTGCCTGAGAAAATAAATGTTCCCTAACAGTAAGAACTAATCTTGCACAAACTTTCCTACACCTCATCTTCTGAAATGTGTTCTCTCAGGCACTGAACCTTGCTAAGAAACAAACAACTGTTAAAAGGCAATGTTAACAGCCATGCAGTAAAAACATCCACAAGCCTCTTTGCCCAAATGGTAGTAAGCATTATATCCTTCTCCAGACTGGCTACTGTGCCTACAATTCTTCCAAGGAGACAGTTGCCATCTGGTCCCAACAAATGTTAAAAATTGTAGATTTCCTGTGATAGCTATTAGAAAGCATGAAGACTAAGATTTTTGAACTGACATTTGGATCAGCACAGATCTCCAACTTCCCTTGATGAACCAAAACTGAATAAGCTTTGATCTTCAACAAAGTCCCCCATGACCTTCTTGCAAGCAAACCAGTCAAATGAGGGCTAGGCAATACTACTATTAGGTGGATCTCAATTGGTTAAGTGACCGAACCCAAAGGGTTCCTTTTCATTCTGGAAAGAAGTGACTAGTAACGTGCCACAGGGTTTGGTTCTGGATCCCGTTCTGTTCAACATCTTTATTAATAACTTGGATGAAGGTTTGGGGGACGTGCTTATCAAGTTTTCAGATAACACTAAATTAGGAGGGAGAGCTAAAGCTCCAGAGGACAGGATCAGAATTCAAAATGACCTTAACAGATTAGAGAGCTGGGCCAAAACTCATGAAATGAATTTCAACAACGATGAATCTAAGATACTACACTTAGGCAGAAAAAGTGAAATGCAAAGATACAGGATGGATGACCCTGGCTTGACAACAGTCCATGTGAGAAAGATCTTCAAGTCTTCATGGACAACAAGTTGAACATGAGCCAACAATGTGTTGCAGCAGCTTAAAAAGCCAATACAATTTTGGACTGCATGGAAAGGAGTCTAGATTGAGGGAAGTCATGGTGCTTTTGTATTCTACTTTAGTTAGATATAACCTGCAATATTGTGTCCAATTCTGGGCACCACAGTTTAAAAGAAATATTGACAAGTTGGAAGGTGTTCAGAGGAGGGCGACTAAAATGATCAAAGGTCTGGAGACCAGGCCCTATGAGAAGCAGCTTAAAAAACTGGGTATGTTTAACCCACAGAAGAGAAGGTTGAGAGGAGACATGACAGCCATGTATCAATATGTGAAAGGGTGTCACAAAAAAGAGGAAGCAAACTTGTTTTCTGTTGCCCTTGAACTAGGACTAGGAGCAATGGGTTCAAATTACAGGAAAGGAAATTCCACCTGAACATTATGAAGAATTTCCTGACCATACAAGCTGTTCAATAGTGGAACCCTCTGCCTCAGAATGTGGTGGAAGCTCCTTTCTTTTAAACAGAGGCTGGATGGCCATCTGTCAGGGATACTTTGATTGTGCTTTTCTCTGCATGGAGGGGGTTGGACCAGATGGTCATGATGGCTCTAGTTGGCTCTTCCAACTGTATTATTCTATGATTTTATGTTTTCTAAATTGTCAACCAAAGGCCAAATTGGATCTGCCCAGTTACTAAAATACACACACTCTTAACATCTTAAGAGTTCACTAACCTTGTGGTTTCCTTGATGCCCTTCCAAAGAGACAGGAGTTAAGTAACATGACTGCAAGTCTGAATTTGTCACTTTTACCATAATGTCTCGGTACATTCCTCTATAGTGTGGAATAAATGGGATTGCAACAGTGACTGGAGAAAGAAACAACGTGTCAGCCTGTGAACACTCGATATTAATGACATTGCTGACTAATTCTTCTGAATCATCCACCACCAATGAACTTAAGTCATTGACAAACTTGACTACTATGCTTTCTAGGATGCTGCAAGGGGCTGTGATGCAGCAGGCCACTTCAAATTCATTGGTACCATTCATTCCTACAAGAAATCTGTAGAAGACAAAACAACAGATTTGCAGACAGAATTATAAGGTTATCTGTTCAAAGTGTAGCACAGCAGTTGAGCCAGGAATCAAGAAATATTCAGTTTGATTTTTCTTCTGCCATTAATCTACTTGCTAGTCTTAAGCCCCTTCTATGCTGGCCTTATATCCCAGGATCTGATCCCTGATTTATCTGCTTTAAACTGGATTATAAAAGTCTCCACTGCCATATAATCTGAGATAAACAGATTCTCTGGTATCAGATACTGGGATATAATGATGGTGTAGAAGGGGCCTTAGAGAAGCTGCTCTTTTAGCTCTCTTTCCCATTGTCCCCACACTATGAGGACAATATGTGGACAATAATTCTGTTTTACTTAATAATGTTATTGTAAGTACTCTGTCAACGGTAAAACAACCTTCATCCAGGATTTAATCCTGGACGAACGGGCAGATCTGGCGTGCATCACAGAGACCTGGCTGGACGAAGCGGGAGGTGTAAATCTAACCCAGCTTTGCCCACCAGGTTTCTCTGTGCAGCACCAACCGAGATCCGGAGGGCGGGGAGGCGGAGTTGCAGTGGTCTATAGAGATTTCATTCTTCTGACCAGGGCCCCCATCCCGCAGTCAACAAATTTTGAATGCGTCCACCTGAGGGTGGGTGACCGGGACAGATTAGGGATTCTGTTAGTGTACCGTCCACCTCGCTGCACTACAGACTCCCTGACTGAGCTAGCGGGGGTGGTCTCGGACCTGGCATTGGAGTCCCAACGGCTGCTTGTGCTGGGGGACTTCAATGTCCACGCCGAGACCGCCTTATCGGGAGCGGCTCAGGACTTCATGTCTACCATGGCAACCATGGGGCTGTCCCAACAGGTATCTGGCCCCACCCACAGTTCTGGACATACATTGGACTTGGTTTTCTGCCAGGGATGGGAGGAAGGTGGCGGTGTTGAGGAGTTATCCATCTCTCCATTGCCATGGACCGACCACCACCTGGTCAGCTTTAGACTCACTGCACCCCCTAACCTCCGCAGAGGTGGAGGACCCATTAAGCTGGTCCGCCCCAGGAGGCTTATGGATCCGGATGGATTCCTGACGGCTCTTGGGGAATTTCCCACCACCTCGGTTGGTGATCCTGTTGATGCTCTGGTCGCTCTCTGGAATGGGGAGATGACTAGGGCAATAGACACGATCGCTCCAGAACGTCCCCTCTCAAGTAGCCGAGCTAAACCAGCTCCTTGGTTCACCGAGGAACTGGCAGCGTTGAAGCGAAAGAAGAGGGAACTAGAGAGCGTGTGGCGTTCAGATCCGAGTGAGCCAAATCGAACACGGTTTGTGTCCTTTTTAAGGGCATATGCCGCGGCAATAAAAGCCGCAAAGAAACTTTCTTTGCGGCCACTATTGCGTCTGCAAAGAACCGTCCGGCTGAACTGTTCCAAGTTGTCAGAGGCCTATTAAAACCCGCCACTCAGGATGGGTGCCCTGATGACTCGGCAGCTCGCTGCGAAGCTTTTGCTCGGTTCTTCGCCGACAAAGTCACTTTGATCCGCTCTGGACTGGATACCATATTAACGGCAGTATCTGAGGATGTAACACGAGCATCTGCTTGTCCGGTTTTGATGGATTCATTTCAATTGGTTCAATCTGAGGATGTGGACAAGGTGCTTGGAGGAATGAGAGCTACCACATGCATCCTAGACCCCTGCCCATCCTGGCTTCTAAAGGAGGCCAGAGGGGGATTGGCCGAGTGGGTGAAGGTGGTGGTTAATGCCTCCCTTCGGGAGGGCAAAATTCCAGCCAGCTTAAAGCAAGCTGTGATAAACCCGCTGTTGAAGAAACCATCACTGGACCCCACTCAATTCGTCAACTATCGGCCTGTTTCCAATCTCCCCTTTTTGGGCAAAGTCATGGAACGTGTGGTGGCCTCACAACTCCAGGCATTCTTGGTAGACACGGATTATCTGGATCCGTCACAGTCTGGCTTTAGGCCGGGGCATGGTACCGAGACAGCCTTGGTCGCCTTAGTGGATGATCTGCGCCGGGAGCTCGACAGGGGGAGTGTGTCCCTGTTGGTGCTGCTGGACCTCTCAGCGGCCTTCGATACCGTCGACCACGGTATCCTTCTGGGACGCCTCGCGGGGATGGGTCTTGGAGGTACTGTTCTGCAGTGGCTCCGCTCCTTCCTCGAGGGTCGGTCTCAGAAGGTGTTACTGGGAGACTCCTGTTCAACCCCACAACCTTTGTCTTGTGGGGTTCCTCAGGGTTCAATACTGTCTCCCATGTTGTTTAACATCTACATGAAGCCGCTGGGCGAGATCATCCGGAGTTTCGGAGTGCGATGTCATCTGTACGCAGATGATGTTCAACTCTGTCACTCCTTTCCACCTGCTACTAAGGAGGCTGTCGAGGTCCTGAACCGGTGCTTGGCCGCTGTGACGGTCTGGATGGGGGCGAACAAATTGAAATTGAATCCAGACAAGACAGAGGTACTCCTGGTTAGTCAAGGCCGAACAGGGTATAGGGTTACAGCCTGTGTTAGACGGGGTCGCACTCCCCCTGAAGACGCAGGTTCGCAGTTTGGGTGTGATCCTGGACTCATCGCTGAGCCTGGAACCCCAGGTTTCGGCGGTGACCAGGGGAGCATTTGCACAGCTAAAACTCGTGCGCCAACTGCGCCCGTACCTTGGGAAGTCTGACTTGGCCACGGTAGTCCACACTCTGGTTACATCCCGTTTAGACTACTGCAACGCTCTTTACGTGGGGTTGCCTTTGAAGACGGCTCGGAAGCTCCAATTAGTCCAACGCTCGGCAGCCATGATACTAACAGGAGCGGAGCGCAGGGAGCACACAACTTCTCTGCTGCACCAGCTCCACTGGCTGCGGATCTGCTACCGGGCTCAATTCAAAGTGCTGGCGTTGGCCTTTAAAGCCCTAAACGGTTCTGGCCCAAGCTACCTATCCGAACGTATCTCTGCCTACGAACCCACCAGGACTCTAAGATCTTCTGGGGAGGCCCTGCTCTCGATCCCGCCTGCATCACAAGGCGGCTGGCGGGAACGAGAGACAGGGCCTTTTCTGTGGTGGCCCCTCGGCTTTGGAACACCCTCCCTTTAGAGGTACGATCAGCCTCCTCGCTGATGGTGTTTCGGAAGAGATTGAAAACATGGTTGTTTAAACAAGCATTCGGTTAATCCGTTGTAATCGAATGTTGATGACTAAAGGACTGGTAATCATGGACGACGAATTTTGGATTGGTTTTAGTTACGAGATGCATGGGATTATTATTGGTGGCCCAATAATTTGTATTGTATATGTGTTTTATGTTTTAAATTGAATACTTTTTTTAATTGTTGTAAACCGCAATGAGTCGCCGACTTAGGCTGAGATATTAGCGGTATACAAGCGTATAAATAAATAATAATAATAATACTACATCAAGGTGAAGCTTGTGATATATCTAGAATTTGAAAATGTTTAAAATGCTATTATCTATTAAAACACCATCTAATGACTATAAACAAGGCTCCAAAAACCCACAAACAATAATCTACAGCCTAAAATAAAATCAGAACCAAGCTGTGGTTAACAAATCTCAAAAGCCTAGGTAAATAAACAAAAGCCTGGGTAAATAAATAGGCTAATATCAACCTAGACAGACTTCTGCAAGTACATTATGTAATATTTGGACACCACTCCCAAGAAAGCTCTGTATTGCTTCTCCACGAAAGACATTGTTCCTGAAGATAGGAAGGAGATGAACATTTGCCTGCAGCTCTTAGTAATATACAAGTGCTCATAAGGAGAAGAACTCCATGAGTTAGCATTAGAACTAATATTATTTTCAATTATCCATAAGTTACTGACATACACAAAGGGAATTGGACTATATTGAAAATAATAGTGGTTTTTATGCATAACAGTGGGATAATGTAGGCATGTGCCTCATGGTTCATAGGAAGCTGTTTGATTTATTTTTGCATAACAGAAATGGGTATTAGGCACCCAATTAGCATCCTAGTTTGTCACTCTGGATACTGCATATATGTTGAACTTATGAAAAAAAGCTTGACTCCTACCAGTCAGCTGTTTGCAGGGGGAAGATTAAGACAGTATCAACACAACCTCCCAGAATACATCTTTATGCCTTTGACATTGATTTCATTTAGGTTAATCATGCCAACACCACTGTTGAACTGTGGTGCATATGTTCATAAAGCAAACTGGATAGGAGCAATGTTCTATAGACCCTGACAATGATGTATACCTGAATCTCGTTGTTACAGTTACTGCAAAGAAATAAAGGAAATAGAGATCTTTCAACTCAAAAATCCCTTGGAAAGTCTACTACTGAAGCTTCAAAGAAGACCACGTACTCTTACTTTTTGCTCACCCAGTCCCTGCCATTTTCTTCTTCCTCCAGGTTACCAATGGGAAGGTAAATGTTTTTAGGTAAGTCTTCTGACCTTGTAGAACATTCTTGTTTTCTTTGGTCAATTTCATCACTCTTGTCTTTTTGATTAATCCTGTCATATCTCTTCTCTGGCTTTTCCACTGGCCTGTGATCTCTATTTGCACTCTCTTCTGGGCAGTCATTTATCTCTGCTTGCTTTTCTTGATTGGGAAGTATCAGCAGATTGCTTGCACTGTTGTTTTCCAGAAAGCAAGTGTTCCCATTGCTTTCTGGAAAGTCTTCCAAAGCATTTTTTCCTGATGTTTTTCTCCCCAAAGAGTTTCCTGAATCAACCCCATTTTCATTATCCTTGCTTGGTGAAGCAACTAATTTATCTGGTATATTTTGATTTTCTTTTCCTCCATGTGCTAGATATTCCAATTCTTTGTCATGTGTCTTCTGATGTGAGGATACAACTGTATCAATCACCATCTCTTTATTTTCTGTTTCTTGAGCTTTGTTTACTTCATCATCCATGGGAGAAGATTTTTGGAATGGTTTATTTACACAACCAAGCAACTGTATTTTTTTTACTTCCTCCTCATCAGCATCAGAATTCTCAGATACATATTTTGCCTGCTGAACTCCATGCATTTTTCCACAATTCATTTCAAGCAGTTCCTTTTCTGATTCTTCAAAGTGTCCAACAGCATGTAGTATTTGCTTATGTAATTGTAGAAGCCAATCTACAAGGCTGCTCCCCTCTGAAAAGAGCAAGATATATATAAATAAATTACATGTGTGTGTATCCCATTGCTTGTGATTTGTTTTTTATATAATTTTTATTCAGTTTTAAACATACATAGGCTAAAATGAAGAACAATTTGGTTATACAAAGACATGTACACATAAACAAAGCCAAAACAAACTAACCAAAAAAATCCCTCTTTTAAACCCAAACCCACCACCACTATGACACCAGATGGAAAAAAATAAAACAAACAAAAAACTAAGGAAATGGGGTTGGGGAAGCTGTGAGGGTGGGGACATTTGGGGTTGGAATGGGGGAAGGGGATATTACACTAAGGGTATAGTTAGAACTTCCAATCTTCTTTATCATGATAATATTTCCTCTTTCTAGTCTTTCTAATATTCCTGATGCATTCCTCTCTTCTTCTTTCCTCTCCAATGCCTGGCAGTGGGTTGACTACATCAATGATCTACATCATTATTTTATATTCTTTTGAATTAAATAATCGCTTACTGAGTTCCAGTTTGTTTCTTCTTTATACATTCCCTGATTTTTTAAAAAAAAGACTGAGTAAATTCATCCATGTTTCTGATTTCTCTCGCATTTTAATTAGCCAATTCTAATTTTTAGGTATTTTTTTCAATCTTCACATTCTTGCATACACTATTCTTGCAGTGGTTGTTATATATGCTAATAGAGTCTCCTCATTCTTTTAAAGATTTACATTTGTTATTCCTAATAGATATATTTCTGGACGTATTTGAAATGTTATATTTATAATTTTTTAAAATTTCCTCATCAATTTTGTTCCAATACTCGTTGGCTTTCCTACACGTCCACCACATGTGGTAGAACGGGCCTTCCTGTGTTTTCCATTTCCAACATTTGGTTTGCAACTTTTTATTAAATTGTCCTAATTTGGGAGGTAGGGATGGGTGATGTACATAATTTTAAACCAATTTTCCCTGAGATCGTATGCATATAGACTCTTTGATTTCCTATTCCAAATATCTTGTGATTTGTTAAGTTGAAAAAATACATAAACACTTTGATTTGTAGACAGTCCAGGAATTAGATAACTTTTAGGGTAAGTTGGGACCCTAACTGTGTATCACCTTCTTTTCCCTTCCTCGCTTGCACATGTCTTTCTGCTCTATCACCTTGCTCTGCTTTCCCTTCTCTCTCTTCCATGCATCTTTTCCCACTTCCTCTCTCTTTCTCTCTCTCTCTCTGAGGTGTTTCTCTGCTGTCCCTTCTTTCTCACGTGCATGCCTGTCTCTCCGCCTGTCTCTCCGCCTTTCTCTCTCTCTCTCTCTCTCTCTCTCTCTCTCTCTCTCGCATGTCTATCTCTCCCTCCCTCCTTCCAGCCTTTCTCCCTCGGTCCCCTTGCTCCCAAAGGCCTTCTGTTCTCACTTCCCTTGCCCTCAAAAGTCCTCCCCCCCTCATCTTCCTCACCTTCCTCACTAACCAGATCCTTTCAAGTTTGCCATAGGCTGCACTTTGTGATTCTCACTATGCTGAATCATTTTGAAAAAGCAGCATCACTTATCACTTTGAAGTCTAGATTTTCAGTGAACACTTTAGATAACACCAGTCGTACTTCAAATTGTAAAACATATTTGCAAACTTTGTTATTTTCGTCCATTGAGGAACCTTGTCAATCTTCTCTGAGATTTTTCTTTTTGTGAGACTGGAAATATGAACGTCCTCCCTTTCTTTCTATTAGCTTTTATGCACAGGGGGTTTTCCATGCAAAAAAAGAAAAAAAAACCTATGTCTTATGTCAGACAACCTGTCCTTCAACCCATCCCAAACTACCCTGCTTCTCCACATAACATTTACCTGGCAATCTTTATATGTGGTTGGCACTTTGAGGAGGCTGTGACTGAAAGTAAGATACACTTCCTCTTATCCTTTTTAAATTGATGTTGAACCAATAATTAATTTATAGAAGAATCCTGAATGTTTAGTTTGCTGAGGAAACTTTGGTGGGGATTTTATCCAAATATATATAATCTATCATGTCACTTAGATAATATATTGTTTGTAATGTAAACTAGATGACATATTGTCTATCATGTCACCTAGATGACATATGTCTATCATCTCACTTAGATGAAAGATATCCACACACTTGTTGATAACTGAAAAATATTTTTTTAAATGATTGCAGCAGGAAGAAGCCTGTTCTATGATTTTTCAAACCAAATTTCTAACCTCTTATATATTTCTATATAGAAAAGTAAAACTATGTGTGTATGTCATGTATGAATGCGTGAACCACAAGAGCTTCTATATGGTATGATGGTTATGGACCAAAATTGGTAAAAACAAGAGGAAAAGAAAGAAGAAAAGGAAGAAAAAGAGAGAAGGGGAGAGAAAGAAAGAAATAACCAAACAATGGCAAATGGATAATGAAGGAAGAAAAACTGGAAAGTGGGAAAGGTGTATGTGGGACAAAAGGAAGGGGAGGAAAAAAAGAAGGAAGAGAAAGAGAGAAGGGAAAAGGAAAGAGAAGGGAGAAGGAGGGAGGGAGCAAAGAAAAAAAGTGAAGGAAGTAGAAAGGAAAGAATTAAGAGAAAATGGAGAGGAGGAGAAAGGAAGGGGAAAGAAAGGGAAAAGGTGAGAAAGGGTTGAAGGAAGTAAAAGAAAAAAGAAAGGAAAAAAGGAAGCATAAAATAAAGAAAAGATGGGAAGGGAAGAGCAAGGGGAGTAAAGGAATAAAAACAGGGACAGTGTATGAAGTAAAGGGGTGGGGGAGGAAGCCAAACAGAAAGAAAAGGGGGGAAAGCAAAGGGAGAGAAAAAAGGAGGAAATGAACAAGAACAAGGGTGAAGAAACAAGGAAGGAAGGGAGGGAGGAAGAAAAAGGGGAAAGATATGAGTGGAACGAAGGAAAGAAATAGAAAACAGAATGGAAAGGAAAGGGAAAAGAAAGGAAGACATAGGAAAGAAAATGAAAAAGAAGTGGGAGTGAAGGTGTATAAGGGATAGAAAGGGAAAAGGAAAGAAAGGTAAGAAAGATCAACATGGAAAGGGAAAAAGGGGGGGAAAGGCCAAAAACCCAAAACTGGAGTACTTTGCACAACATGGGTGATAATCAGTAACAGCATTTGTAAATTGCACAGTTCATAATAGCAGAATATTAAATATGTTTAGAAATTATCTATTAATTTAAATAATTAAAAGTGGGATTTTTTTTTTCTAGCACATTTATTAATGATGCCATCTTTCTTTGTGACTGATATTCCAACCTCATTATATCCGAGGTTTGGCTGCATATGTTCTCCTGTGCTATACTTAAAACCAGATTCACAACTACGACCCTCCGGATATTTCAAATTTACAATTCTCAGCATAGCCAGTTATAGGTAGTTCTCAGAGTTGTAGAATGAAAGCTTCTGGACAGCCAGAATTTCCTCCTCTTAGCTCAAATGGCATTTTGGTTTCCGCCCTCTCTAAAGTTAAGATAAAGATTTCCCCTTGACATTAAGTCCCGTTGTGTCCCACTCTGGGGGGTGGTGCTCATCTCCATTTCTAAGAAAGAGCTGGCATTGTCCGTAGACACCTCCAAGATCATGTGGCCAGCAAGACTGCATGGAGCGCCGTTACCTTCCTGCTGAAGCAATACCTATTGATCTACTCACATTTGCATGTTTTCAAACTGCTAGGTTGGCAGAAGCTGGGCCTAATAGCGGGAGTTCAACCCGCTCCCTAGATTTGAACCACTGACCTTTCAGTCAGCAAGTTCAGCAACTCAGTGGCTTGACCCACTGTACCACCAGGGAGCCCTCCTCCCTATCTAGAAATCTGTAAAAACATAGTATTCAAAGATACACAGTGTTTGAGAAACTACATCTGAGTTAGCTGTTTAAACTCAGGTAACCTTGATTCACAGGTATATATGATGTTGAAAACTGGGTTCTATGCACTCAACATATATTTCTTTTTCACAAATCTAATATTACTTGCCTTGACTTGAAATGTATTGCGAACTTTCCCCATGATGCTTATTCAGTAGCTTGCTGGTATCTTGAAGAATCTTAGTTGTGTGCTTCAGTTGCCAGTTGAAGGCTTTGAGGAGATCCAAAAGAAGAGGCGTCAATTTGGGAATATACTCCACTATCTTCTCATTGCCTTGGCAGTTACTTTTGAGAAAAGTATTTTCTAATGTTAGATTGAGTTGACAGATATGTTCCAGTATTTTTTCCAGATGATCAGCAACGCCTTCCACTGTTTCCATTGTGAATCAAAGAACTAATGGTGGATGAACTTCTTTTTTAATTATTTAAAGAGCAATTTTCAAAGGCTTCCTCTCCTCTCAGGATACCTATTGCTAAGGATATTGGGAAATAAAGTGCACTAGTTCTTTGAAAAATAAGCACTTGGTGATGAAACACAGAGTTGCTGTTGACAGTAAAAAAAGTTACTAGGTGACCAGCAGGTGTGGCTCTCCCAGACTGAGTAGATATGAAATACAAAAGAACTAATACTTGAGGAGAACAAAATGTCTTGTGATATTCTGATACCGTAAGAAGCTGATGGACAACACTATTAGTTTTGTTTCTGAACATGAATTATATTCTTCAAGCCACCCAAACCTTCAGTATTACTTCAGTTAAAGCAGCAAGTTCTATATCAGCTTAATTAGGCCCCTTCTACACAACAACATAAAATCCAAATTATCTGATTTGAACTGGATTATATGGGAGTAGAGACTCATTTAATCCAATTCAAAGCAGAAAATGTGGATTATCTTTTTTGATAAACTGGATTATATGGCAGTATATAAGGGGCCTTCGATTTCATGTTTTGAGAGTGTGAAAGCTGGCCTGTTAGATATTTTGAACTACATCTTCCATAATCCACTACCAATTTGCCATGCTGGCTGGGATATATAGAGTGGCAAGCTAAATGTTCAGAGAATTCTTTACTTGCATGCAAGCTTCTTGATGTGATATGCCTACTATTTAGTTACCAACTGGCTTCTTGTTCTCAGATAGACATGGGAGTTGTTTCACCTTGAAAAATCCAGGAAAACAAAATATTATATTCTCTCTTACATTCTGAAATAGTTCAGTTAATTCTACCAACAGGTAGAATTTTTGCTAAGTGGAGAAGGAAAAAGTTATACTTCAAAATTCCATGAATTTTGCCTGGAATGGGTCAAGCTATTTTGGCACCTGACCAAAAATTGCCTGTCAATTGAAATATAATAGCGATAATTTGGATCAATAAGAATTTGCTTGACTTTCATGACATTCAAAATCTGCCACTTAAGGTAGATATTTCACATGGCCTAATGCCAGGCACAGATTTGCTTCCTAGTCTATAGAGAGACTTCAGTAAGTATTGGGTACGGATTGTGGTATGAAGTATGTTTCTCTATAACTAACTGTCCCAGTTTGACAGAGGCAGACCCAATGAATGTCATGTTACTTTTTTGGATACTTTTAAAAATCTTCTCATACTGTTTCCCTTTGTTATCATTGTCACTTAGTTTTTATGTGTAAAAGTACACCGTTTCCCCTTGATAACTCTTTTGGGAGTGAATCTTCATTTCGAGAGGAAGATTTCTATCATTTCCTGTTGTCTCACTCCAGTTCTTAACTAGGAATAATCTGTAAATCAGGTGTTTGCAACTTATTTATTATTTATTTATTTGCTACATTTATCTCCCCCTCCCCCATTCTCAACCCAGTAACTGGGAACTCAAGGCAGCTTTATATACAGGCAACTATTTGATGCTTTTTAAACAACGTACAGTTAAATTATACAATTTGAACCATAATTTAAAACACATTAAAACATTACATTACCTATTACCCGCGCTATCTGCAATCGTTATCCAGGCCATTCCAATAATCATTGCACATAATTCCAATGTCTGCATATCAAACTTTATGTCCCCATGCCAACAAATACGAGGTTCCATTGGGGGTGGGGGGGTTAACCTAAAAAAATCAAATAAGAGTAAGACCCCTCCTACATAGAATAAAAATGATTGTAAAGGTTTAGTGGATATTGAGCGTCAGCTCAAGAACACATAAAAGACATACTTGCATATAGGGGAAAAGGGATGCAACATTTGTAGAAAGTATTAAATCATGAATATTTTTTCATAGTTGTTGAGAAAAATGCAATTTGAGCACTTTTAACAGATTGAAAGTCACTCCGTTGCTTCAGAAACATAAAATGCATTATGTATAACTTGCCTTGGCATAAAAGTATCAGGTTTGATATATTAAGAGTACAGTTGATTCGGAAAACAGAAGTCTGTTTTTGAGGGAAAAGAGTGACATAAATGATGGGTGTAAAATGGCAAACTGAATTTATTTTTTAAAAATGTCGCAAACGGAACAAGGACTGAACTTTAAAACACTGAAACTACAAGGAGCCTCTTTGTTTTTTCAACTTTATGCAGGAATGGCAGAAACACAAATAATAAAAACAGAAGAGACCATCAGCATCAGTAAAACAAAGAATGCTACTTTTTTCTGATAGTCATCCACTGTGTTATGCAGATATAAAGCAATCATTCGCAGAAAAGGAATAGAGAAAGGGAAATAAAGAATTGTAATAATGTGAGACATTGTATACAGCCTTACAGAAAATACTACCTGCTACATAGTTTTTATGAAAATCCAAAACCAACTTTTTAATTTTTCCATTTTAAAAAAAAGCTTAAGGGATTTTTTCAATGTTGTTTTTATCCATGCTTTTATAGCTCTAATGGTAAAGTAAATTGGGCTATCTGAGCAACTGATAGAAAAATTCCTGAAGAAGAAGATCAAAGAGCTGTATTATTCTCTCATACCATTGAATCATTTGCATTTCTAGATGATGGACCAGAACCCTTCCATACAACCCTCTATCCCAGAATATCAAGGCAGAAAATCCCACAATATTTGCTTTGAATTGGGTTTTCTAGGTACACACTCAGATAATGTGGGATTTTCTGCCTTGATATTCTGGAATATAGGGCTGTGTGGAAGGGTCCCCAGAAGCCCACATAGATAATTATCAGAAAGTGTTGGAGCTGCAGTTCAATGGTATCTGGAGGGCTAGGTAATGCACAGTTCTACTCCTTACTATATCTTGGAAGAGAGTTGGCAGAATTTTAGACAAGAGAACTCTTGTTGCAGCAGGGATGAGATGCAAGATGCTCTAAATTACAATGGATTCAAAGTATTGGAAAAAGATTCCACTTGAATATTAGAAAAAAACTTCCTGATAGTAAGAGTTGTCTGACGGTGGAATATACTGCCTTGGAAGGTGGTGGACTCTCTGTCTTTGGGGTTTTTAAAACAGAGACTGAATGGCTTTTTGTCGGGAATGCTTTGATAGTTTAGGTCTGTGTGGCAGGAGGTTAGACTAGATGTCCTTTATGATCTCTTCCAACTCTGATTCTCTGAATGTCTGCCTAGCAAACAGCACTTTGAAAGCCTTCAATTCCACAAAGATTGTTTCCTCAAGGATAATTCCCTTAAACAACATGTTGTCAACTCAATGACTCTAAAACAATCCCATTTCATTGGCTACTTCTGAGAGCTGAAGTCAAAACATCTTACATTTGGGGGAGAAGATTGGTAGGGCCCACTTCTGTAAGAAGGAAGAATTTGAACATGCAGCAGTACAGATCATGTAGTCATTGGCTTAGAGCCAAACTAGATGATATGATAAGCATGTATTTCAGTCATATATCTGTTTTTTATAGAGTGTGATTGTCCTCAGTTGTGTATCTTGGTTACTGGAAAGTAACACATGGGTTTAATTTGCAATTTGATGGGTGAGGCATCCAGGTCCACTAACTAATCAATACACACCAGGCCTGTAGCGAGGGGGGTGGTGGTTTAGGGGTTCAACCCCCCCGAAATGTTTCAGATTTTTTAAAAAAACCTGGTTTACTCATGAATTTTAACTGGTTAACCAAATCCCCATGCTAAGTCTATGAGATGCAAAAAATTAAGAGTCCCTCCAGAACTGCAAGCACTATCTCAAGCAAATATTGACAATTTATTCACACTGTCATTACTTGCAGCAATAGCCGATGTAGTGAAGCAACCAAGTTGGGGGGGGGGTTGAATGCTCTCATTAAGGAGGCCAGACTTGGTGGAGGTGGTTGACAGGGGCAGAGCTGCAGGCTGTTGAAGGCTGCTCTGCCCCCTGCTGTGCTCTTTGCTTCAGCGTCAGCTAGGAGGCAGGTTTCAACCCCCCCCCACCAAATTTCACCCCCCCCCAAATTCAACTCCTCCCGATTTTTTTTTCTGGATATGGCCGTGATGCACACACACACACACACACACACACACACACACACAGGTCCCTTGCTCCTTCGCGGTCTGCTTATTGCGGACTCGCTGTTTTGTGATTTTCTTAAAAAAAGAATTTTGCCCTCCTTACCTTCCTCATCTTCCTCCTCTTTGCCACCTGGGACCTCTTGTTGCCACTTAGACCCCATGCAGCGTCATAGCAGGAGGCCCAGGCGGCGAAGAGGAGGATGAGGAAGGTAAGGAGAGCATGGGGAGAAGACAAACCACCTTCTCACCCTCCTTACCTTTCTCTTCCTCTTCTGTTTTATCCCATGCGGCGTCACAGCAAGAGGCCCAGGTGGTGAAGAAGATGATGATGAGGAAGGTAAAGAGGGTGAGGGGGGAAGAAGAGCCACCCCTCGCCCTCCTTACCTTCCTCTTCCTCCTCCTCTTCACCGCCTAGGGTCTTTTGCTGCAACTTGGGCCCCATGCAGTGTCGCAGCAAGAGGCCCAGGCAGCAAAGAGGAGGAGGTTGAGGAAGGTAAGGAGGGTGAGGGGGAAAGAAGAGCCACCCCTTGCCCTCCGTACCTTCCTTTTCCTTCTCCTCTTCACAACCTGGGGCCTCTTGCTGCCGCTTGGTCCCAATGTGGCGTCGCAGCAAGAGGCCCAGGTGGCGAAGAGGAGGAGGATGAGGAAGGTAAAGAGGGCAAGGTGGAAGAAGAGCTGCCTCCTCACCCTCCTCTTCCTCCTCCTCATCACCACATGGGGCCTCTTGCTACCGCTTGGGCCCTGCGACTGAGGAGGCATTGTGATACCGAAGTGGCAGCAAGAGGCCACATGTGGCGACAGGTAGGGGGAAGAGGAAGGTAAGAAGGGCAAGGAGGGAAGGTGAGGGGGCATCCCTACATTGTGGAATTTCACTTATCACAGGTGACCCAGGAATGTAACACCCGCAATAAGTGAGGGACCACTGTGTGTGTGTGTGTGTGTG